CGACCAAGCCCTGTTGCTCCCTCTCCTGGTCCCAGCCTCTCCTGTCTCCCCAACCCTGACACCCCTACAGGGACAGCTCCCAAGGGGTCACATCCCAGCCTCAAGCCAGGGCACATACTCCAAGAACCATTGCCCCTAGATACCTTCTGACAGTGCATTGCTCCCCAATCCCTCAACACCCTTCTCACATGTACACAGGCCACACCACCCTTCCAAACACCCCTCTCCTCTGTGCACCCCCATTACAAGCAGGCTGTCCAGCCACCCTACTGCACTGCAGCCAAGAAGTCTGGAGGCTTTGCCTGGCTCAGGGACCCTTCCCCCAAGGAGAGCAGGAGATCTGGTGGGAGAGGTGACAGCCCCATCCAGGGGTGAGGAACCAGGGGCAGGACAGCCCTGGACGTTTTTGAACGGTGAGTCTCAAGCAGACCATGTGTCCCCTAAAGAGGCATTTCAAGCAGCACCTCTTTGGGGGGATAACATGCAGTTAAAAACACAAAAAACTGCATAAAAAAAATAAAACCAAATCCAGCGGATTTAAAAAAAAAAAAAAAAAGCCAACCTAAAAGAACAAACCAAGACAGAGGCTCAGGGGATGCAGCTGGAGGGCTGTGCCTTCACCTGCATCCTGACAAGTCTCAGGCAGCTGCACACAAGGCAGGTCCTGGTGCCACCAGTGATGTCCCATGTCACCCTTAGAGGAGAACATGTCCTCCTGGGAGGACAGATGAGCAGCATGAGGACAAAGCAGGGTTGGAAGCCTAGCCTACTGCACCCTCTGGCCATGGGGATCTGTCTAAAGCCTGGCAGCACCAGTCCCCTTGTGTGGCTGCTCTGGGGACAATGTCCCTCTGCAGCACAGGCTGCAGGCAGAGGGCAGGGAAAGCAGCTCAACACAGCAGCTCGGAGAGGCAAGGCAGAAATCTGGCATTTTCACCACTGCCACTTCCTCTGCACTGGTCCCAGAGTGAGAGCAGCTGCTCTCTGGCAGTGTCCCAAGCCAGATTTGAGGAAGGGAGCTGTTAAATGTACAACCAACCCCAAATCCCCAACCTCCCTTCATGCACACAACCCCCAGCAGCAGGGCAGTGGATCCGAGGACTTGGAGAGCTGATTCCCCTCTCCAAGGAGCAAATGTGGCCATAGTAAACAGCTGATGAGCAGAAAGTGCTGACCCCACAGGGGACCCTGCAGAGGAGCAGGGCATGGGGATGGGCAGCACAGCCCTGCCTGGTCCAGCATGAACAACTGCTGCAGGAGCAGCTGCCTTTCCCATGCAAAGGCATCGGGGTACCTGGAACAGACCCAGATGGCGGAAGATGTCCCTTCCCCAGCTGAGCATGACTGCATGGGGAAAAAAAGATCCCTCCAACCCTGAGCTCCAGGCCTCCTGACAGTCCTCATCTCCAGTCCACGTGGCTCAGTCTCTGGTGATGAAGGCCACGCATATAAATGAATCCACAATCTGCTCCTCTGCTGAAACATGCTCATGTGGCTGCCACTGTCTCTGGCTGCTCCAGCTCATCTTCATAGTCTGAGATGTAGGACTCCATGGTCTGCCTGGCCAGCAGCTCTCTCCGGGCCTGAAGCCGCTGGCAGCGGGGACAGCATGTGGATTTGAAGCAGGATCTGTGGTAGCAGGCTTTGCACTCTGTGGGGGAGAGTGTGGTTGAGAGCTGGCAGAGTGGCTGACACCCACTGCCAGACACTCTGCAACCCCAGGGAGGGATGCTCTAGGCTTGTCCAGGAGGAGATTTCAAACTAAAGCCATGGTAGAACAAGCACCAGAAGCAGGGGTCCAGCACCGTTCTGTAAGCAGCACAAAATCATGCTGCAGGGTCCCTGCACTGTCTTGCAAAGCCTTTGGGAGCACAGGTGGAAGGTTTCCTGCTCTGCACAGCATTCCTCCCCAAACTTTCCTGATTCTTCAAGGAAACACTGACTCTGTCCCAAGACAGAGTCTTGCCAGGCAGTTTTTCTGGCACTGTGCCTGCCAAACCAAGGCTTGCATGTTGGCAAGAGCCATTTCAAGCCAGTTCAGAGGTTGGTCCCAAGCTGTAGGGCCAAGCTCTGCTTACCCATTAGTAATAGGCATTACTGAGGATGACTCCTGAAGGGGCCCAGGGATTTCTTGGCAGGCAGGAAGGGCACAGAGATAAAGCCTTCAGGTTCTCTCTGCTCTACAAGGTCAGCTCCGGCCATCCAAGAAGGGGCAGGGGAGCTGCATACAGGCTGCAGCTTGTCCCATAACCAAAGCAGAAGGGGAGCCAGGGCTCCCTCTTTCTCCCCAGCATCTCACCTTCACATGTCTTGCACTTGTTGAGCTCAAAGGGGAAGATGATGTCACTCTCATTCTGGCAGAACTCACAGATGAAACCTTTGGCTTGGCACAGCTGGAAGGAGAAAAGGTGAGGAAAAAGCAGCTAAATGCTCCTCAGCTCCTTGGCAAGCTGGGCAGGAGGCAGAGCAGAACAGGCCAGCAGGACACGGTGCCCTGCTCTGTCCATGTGGGGCAGCCTTTCCCCAATATGGAGCAGAACAACGCAGAGCCAACAAGTGTCAGGGGTGGGCGAGAGGCAAAATGGGTTAACAAACATCCCATATGTGCTGGACAGAAGCTCTGTAGAGCAGGAAGGAGCAGTTAGCATTGAACCAGTTAATTCGGTGGCTGTCCTGCACATCAAAGGCCTCCCCATCAGTTATTTTTGCAGCAAAGCCTGCTTCCAAGGGTGCAGAGCCATGCAGCAGGGAGGTGAAGAGGCCTTACCATGCACTTCTCCACATGCAGGCTGCCCGCCCTCAGGAGCTCTGTCAGGCGAGGCACTAGGTCCCCTTTCTTTGTAGCACTGAGGTCACTCAGTGAGTAGAGGTGCAAATCCTCTGTCAAGTGGCCAGGCACTGTGTCAAAGGAGTCTAGGAGGCTGCAAGGACAGAGAAACTATAGCTCAGCAACTCTTCAAAGCCCTCTCTCTACACTGCTTCTGCCTTTTTCCCCCTTCCACTCCCTTCTCCCCCCATTGCTCATGGCACAGGCTGTATGGACTCCCAGTGCAAACTGCCATGGGATAGATTCAAGACAGCAGAACAGGTTCAGCTCACAGCCCAGGACTCACTCTTTAGCCAGCCGGCAGGTCTTAAACATGTTCTTCATGTGGAAAAGCTGGATTCGCAGCAGCTGGAGATGAAAGGGGGACAGAAGAATCAGTAAACAGAGCATGGTCTTTGGCCAAGCAGGTCTGTCCCATTTCCTGCGCTGGTGAAATGACTGCTGGTCCTCAACTGCTGCTCCCCTGCTACCCAAGTGTTCACACCACGCAGAGCAAAGTGAGCACAACCATCCTCATGTGCTCCAGGAGACAAACCCAAG